GGCGTGATTAAAATGAAAAGAAGTGATGCACTGAGCTGAGTGAATAGCAGTGATGCACCTAATGAATTATTCCCGAGCGTGTCTCTTGGCTGCAGAATATGTTAGTCCTAATAATTCAAAACCACCATTAATAAAATTGAACTTGAATTAATTAAATGTTTAAGTAGTACTTATTTACTAATAAGAATATGACACATTATTGATTTATAACTCAGACTTATTATACAAAATAATAGTTTTTTATTTATATATATGCAATATTATAAAAAATAGCACTTTAAAAAACATCACTTGATATAATTTTTGAAAAATTGTAGTAAATATAGCACTTTAAAAAAGTTATTTTTTTTTTCACTTTCTCCAAATGAGTTGGCGTGATTAAAATGAATAGAACTGATGCGAGGAGTGAATATAAATGATGCACTGAATGAATTAGTAGTAATGATAATAAATTTTTTATTGACCAATAATAGATTTACACATCACTGATTTTTAACTTAATTTTAATGATTACGTTGTAATTAAAACAAGTTTTTATGTATGCAACATTGATGTCATACCGAAGATCATAAAAAATTGTGATACTCGATGTATGTTTTGTAAAAATTGAAGTAGTGGTAAAAAAGTTAGAACAATTTTAAAAGAATATATTTTTTCTACTTTACTTTCTCCAAATGAGCAATGATGCACAGAGTCAACTTAAATGAACTAAATCTTTTAGTAGTAAGATAATAATTTTTTTCTTAATCAATAGTTTTTTAACTGAGTTTTACTATATAAAAATAGATAATAATTTTTTATTTTTATATATGCAAAATTGGTGTCATATGAAAAATCATAAAAGATTATGGATTTTGATATATTTTTTGTAAAACTTGGAGTGAAAAAACAAAAGTTATAACATTTTAAAAAGTAAGAGATTTTTTCTCCCATTAATTAATGATGCACAATTGTAGCGAGTGAGTAATATTGATGAGCCGTGATTTATTACCCAATATGAAATTGATGGCACATCATTGATTTTTAACTCAGTTTTATTATATAAAATGATAGATTGTTCTTAAATTTTTGTTAATTTTATAAATGTCTCTTAAATTGTGGTTTCCTATATATTTCTGGACCCATACTCCATATTTTTTAAAGGACAATGTTCAAGTAAGGTAGGCTCTTTTATTTGAGGTGCTTCCGTGTTGAATTTTTTGATGAAATTTTGTGAGCATGTTTTCCATGAATTGTAGATTATGTCCACCAAGTTTCACAATAAAATTCAATCGGCAAGTCAGTTTAACAAATTATTCAAAAACTGCATTTTATATATTTAAAAACCTGCGTAATTTTGAATAACTATTTAACGGACTTTATGATTGAATTTTAATCTGAAATTTGGTGGACATAGTCTACACTTCATGGAGAACATGCTCAGAAAATTTCATAAAAAAATCGACCCGGAAGCTCCTCAAATAAAAGAGGCCTAAGATTATAACTTTTAGACCTACCTTACAAGAACATTTTCCTTTATTAAAATCCTACTATTCGATATCGAATATTCATTAAACTAGTATTGTACCCGTGCGTTGCACGGAACATATTTTTTTATGTATTTCATGTATAATACGTAGTATCTATTTCAAAATGCTGATGTTACACTACGTATGACATTTATCTAATTACTACTCCGTATAAAGGAAAGTCGAATATGTACATATATGATGCAATAAAATAGAAGCACTTATGTACGTTTTGATCATAAATTCACAATATGTTTTTATTGCTATAATAATTAATTCCAAGAATCTCCCTAGATATATAAAGAAGTGCAGGAGGTAAGGGGAAAATAGTTTTTTATGCAAAAAGTAAAATTTCACCTGAAATAAATTATAAAAGGAAAACATTAAAAGAGTAAGAGATCATTTATTTATGTTTTTGGTGAACTGGGGATCCGATGCGATGGAGATATTTATCTTAAACTTTTTCATTGATATGGTCGTATTTTGTACTCAACGTAAAAATTAAATTCAGTCTTGAATAAAGATATTTTGAAAATTGTATTTTTACAATTTAGGATGTTTTGACTTGGACTGTAATTTAACGATCTGGTATGATTTGATCTGGTCTGAACTGGTCTGGTCTGTGATGCATAACTGTCTAAGTAAAAACATCCTTAGTCTAATATGAATGATGAATATAATCATACGTACTATACTTCGAGGTAAATTATGTATTATCAAAAGAGGGGATTATATATCAAACTACACACTATTAGTAATATGAAAAATATATGCAGAATGTGATGAATATGTTCCTTAGGATCATGTTGATAAGGCGGATGCATTATATTCATTATCTTTGATTAATAAAGTTCATTATTATTTGTTCATAATAAAGTTCATTATTATGGCATTAATTAATGCATTTGGTGTATCCGGCTACATCATTGACATGCTCCTTAGGAGGACAAAATACAAAGCATTAACAGTGTATTATTCTACTAACGTGCCTTTTTTATTTGTTAATATGTAATTCGTCACATTGTAAGTTTTTTACACTACATACTCCGTAATAGTTTAGAGTATAATGTAAACCTAATACAGAGTAACACCGCAATTTATATCCTGCAACCGGCGCACCATGAGGATGGTGCGCCCGGTTGCAAAACGACGCAGCTTCAGTGGTTGATTCCATTATTTTTTATTTCTTTTATTGTTAAAAATTGTAATAACTTTTTTATTTGAAATTCGATTTTTATAAATTTTATATCAATTTTTTATTTTTCATGATCTATCAAATGAGACAAATATTGCTTATGTAATTTTAACAAATTATTTTGAAGTTACATTTGATAATATATCATCAAGTTACATCTTCTTCCGCGCGAGTTACATCTTATTGTACGCGAGTTACATCTTAATATACGCGAGTTATATCTTAATGTATGTGAGTTACACCAAGAAATAAACCCTTGCTACATCTTTCATTTTTATCATTTGAAAAATAGTGTATGAATATGAAATACAATATACTTATTTTATGTGGATTAATAAAATTTTGTATTAAATTGGCAAAGAAAAAAATCAATTTAGTTTTAATTGAATTAGTTCAAGATAAAGATAAGTGAAAAATCACAAATAATTAGATATAACTCACACATAATTACATGTAACTCGCGCATAAAAATATGTAACTCGTGTATAACAAGATGTAACTCATACATAATTACATGTAACTCGCGCATAAAAGTATGTAACTCGTGTATAACCAGATGTAACTCACACATAACAAGATGTAACTCACACATAATAACTTGTAACTGGAGTATAAGATGATGTAACTTCGTATATTATCAAATGTAACTCCAAGCTAGAAGCAAAATAAACAAACTCAATATCTTAAAAACCTCTAAAACATATAAAAGTGATAAAAAAAATATATTATAGAAAAAGTGTATGCATATAAAAATATATTACAAAAAATGTATGAATGTAAAAATTAAAATTACATAGGCAATATTGGTCTCATTTGAAAGATCATGAAAAATAAAAAAATTTGATATAAATTTTATAAAAATCGGATCAAAAATAAAAAAAAATTATTAACAATTTCAAGAAAAGGGGAAATAAAAAATAACAAAGTGTGCATGATGCTCAGCATGCACCGGTTCCACGGTATAAACACTGGAGTAACACACATGCACACAATTTATAAATAAGAGAAAATAAAATATTTACTACTTTGTACTTGCAATAGGCACTGAAAGTAGCACTACATATAAAATGAACTCAATAATTGTTCCATAAGAAAGAAACCCGTAGCGACCGTGTGGAGGTTACATAACCTGAAATAAGACTGGACCTCTGGTGTGAACGTGTATAAGGCCCTACCGTCGCTTTGCTGACTGAGTCACCGTGATTAACCTCTCCACCATCCTGTCGGGTCGAGGTGGGGGCTCCTTGGATGGGAGATTCCAACTTTAGGACCAAGTTCCATAAGAAAGAAGAACTGGGCTATTGACATGTACGTAGTTATGCTCTATACAACTGCTTGTGAACAAATTATTTAAAAATACATTTTATGTCATGTTTGCTTTCAGAAAACAAAAAAAAAAGTGAAAGTTCAGTGAAAAATTCAAAGCAAACAACTTGTGATCATTAAACATCTCTTTTTGCTATATATACAAATTAAATATTTCGTATATGTCAGCAATAAGATGCAGAATTCAAGTATATATCTACTCTAAAAAAGTGAAAGTTCAGAGAAAAACACTTAAGAATAAAAATATAAAAATGTTTTAAAACGGTTAAAACAGAAAGAGAGTGTGTAATCTGAAACCGGCATAGAACTCACACGATGTCTGATCGTAACATGTACTCAGTAATATAAAAAGTTCAGCAAACTCGCACGCGTAGCTCAGTTGGTCGAGTGGTGGGAGATTTGGATCAATGGACCAAGGTTCGAATCCCCGAAGCGACCGGGTGGAGGTCACAAAACCTGAAATAAGGCTGGGCCTCTGGTGCGCACGGGTGTATGAGCCTACTTTCATTCTGGTGACTGAGTCACCGTGACTAACCTCCCCACCATCCTGTCGGGTCGGGTGGGGGACTCCTGGGTTTGGGAGATTCCACATTTTTGGATCAATAGAAAAAGTTCATCAAAGATTGCATTTCTCAGGACAGATAAACCTTTAACATGTCATCATTATAATCACACCTTATTTCAGATGTCATCATGGGTCCTATGGATCTGATGTCATCATGTTCCAATGGTAAAAGTTCACTGTGGGGTTGTTCAGACCTTTCCTCTTTCGATTCATCATATGCCTGTCTAGACGTGGCACCTCGAGGAGTGTCGGCCGCGCCAGAGAAGCCGAAAGACTCAACAACAGGAAGGTGCGCCTTGAAGGCCCCAAATATCCGAAAATATTCTAAGTGTTTGGCTAACTTACAACTCAAAGGAATGGAGGAGAATGTATTATATTCCACTTGATAAAACATTACAATTGGTGACCTTATATAGGCATTACAAGAGGAGTAAAATAATCCCTAGGAAATACAATTTACCTTTCCAAGAAGACCTTTCATCTTTCCAATAAAAGTAGGGAAAGATAATTTATGTTCCCTAGGAAGTAAACTAATTAAGATTAATTAATTAATCCCAACAAATTCCTCCCCTAATCTTAATTCTCTTCGGTCTCTCATTCCGAGCCTTTTGCTTGTAACCTTTTGCAACAAGCCGAGCTTTGTATCGCTCGACCATACCTTCAGCATTGCATTTCTTCTTATACACCCATTTGACTCCGATCGGCTTATGACCTCTCGAGAGATTGGTAAGTTCCCAGGTCTGATTCTTCTCAATCGCTTTTATTTCTTCGTTCATGGCATCTCTCCATTTTTCATCGTGCTTGGCTTCTTCAAAAGTAATATCCTCCCCATCGGCTAGAAGACATACCATGTGAACCTCTGGAGCTGCTTCATATATGTCCTGTATGTTTCTGTACCTTTGCCGGCTCATCCCTTCTTCTTCTTCCTCGTCCCTCGAGGTCGTCATAGATCCCGCCCCGATTGGTTCTAGTGTCATCTCGAGCGGGATTGGAATCTGGGTCCCGCCCGGGGTCTCTTCGTCATTTGAGGTCCCGTCCGGGACGTCCTCGTTATTTGAGGTCCCGTCCGGGACGTACTCCTTCTCTGTGTTCCAATCCCAGCTTCCTTTTTCATTTATCTCTACATCTCTGCTCATTGTGATCTTTTTCTCCTCGGGATCATATAGTCTGTATCCCTTTGTCTTCTCATCATAGCCAATGAAGACAAGCTTCTTGCTTTTGTCTTCCAATTTTGTTCATCTCTGATCGGGCACATGTGCGTAAGAGATACTCCCAAACACCCTCAAGTGTGACACGGTCGGCTTTTGACCACTCCATGCTTCTTGAGGTGTTAGATTTTCAAGATTTGAGTGCGGACACCTGTTCTGTACATACACCGCACATCGTACCGCCTCGGCCCAAAATTGCTTTGGCATATTTTTGCTCTTGAGCATGGATCTTACCATGTCCATAATGCTCCGGTTTTTTCGCTCAGCCACCCCGTTCTGTTGAGGCGAGTACGGGGTGGTAAGGAATCTTCTAATTCCTTCCTCTTCACAAAACTTTGTAAAAGAGTCTGAAATGTATTCTCCTCCCCCCCCCCCCCCCCGGTCTGACCTCAACGCTTTCACCTTCAGCCCGATTGTCTTCTCCACCTCGGCTTTGAAATTTTTGAATGTTTTAAAGGCCTCCGATTTTTCTTTTAGAAAATATACCCAAGTCTTCCTGGTGTAGTCATCAATAAAGGTGATAAAGTACCTTCGCCCACTGAAAGATGATGGCGTGATCGGCCTACAAATGTCTGTATGGACTGTCTCCAATGCTCCCTTGGCTCGGTACTTGGCAGTCTTCTGAAAGCTCGCCCGGGTGTGTTTCCCAAGTACGCAGCTTTCACAGAATTGCTTTGGAAAATCCATCTCGGGTAGTCCATGCACCAAGCCCTTTTTGCTCAGCTCGGCTAATCCTCCAAAGTTCAAATGTCCAAAACGTAGGTGCCATAATAGTGACTTGTCCGTCAGGTCGACTTTCAAGCACTTATGGTTTACGCTTCTCAAATCCAACTTGTACATTCTGTTCTTGGCCATCTCTACCCGGGCAACGGCCCGGCCTCTTCTATCCTTCAAGTGTAGGTATCGACCACTTAGGTCGGCTGAATACCCTTTCTCCATAAGCTGTCCCATGCTTATGATATTTGTCTTCATGCTCGGGACATAGAGTACATTTTCAATCGTCCCCTCTTGTCCATTCTTTTGCAGAAATTTAACCTTTCCTCGGCCTTTGATAACTACTTTTGATGTATCTCCAAAAGATACATTTCCTCCCTCAGCCTCCTTCAACTCAGTGAATAAATGTTTATAACCACTCATGTGGTTGCTCGCCCCGGTATCCAAGTACCACGTAGCGTCGTCTGTTAAGCTTCCTTCTTTGTGTGCTAGTAAGAGCACTCCTTCCTCATCTCCATCATCATCCTCATGCTCAACAACATTTAGATTCTCCTCCGGTTTTGGTTTCGACCAACAGTCTCTTGCGAAATGTCCCCGTTTCCCGCAATTGTAGCATTCCCCATCGGGTCTGCCTCCCCGACCGCCTCGGGCAGCTCCTCTACCTCGGCCTCTCCAGGTCGGGCGATGTTGGTCCTCCCGGTTCTGGTGGGTATTCTCCTCTCGGTTGTAGTCTCCTCTTCCTTGGCCCCGACCACGGAAGTGACCTCGGCCTCGGCCTCTCGGTTGATGGGCATACATTGTCTTCTCCTCTACCACCACAGTTTGTAATGCCTCTTCTAGCGATTCTAGCCGCTTCATCTTTCTTTGTTCATGTGCCTCCAACGACCCTGACAGGTCGTCAATGGTAAGCGTCTCAATATTTCTAGCTTCTTCGATTGCGCATACCACGTTCTCGAATTTGTCCGTAAGTGTTCGTAGAATTTTTTCTACTATCCGACTCTCACTTACGGTTTCACCATTTCTCTTCATATGGTTTGCTATGGTCATCACCCGATTAATGTACTCGGTGACCTTCTCGTTCTCTTTCATCCGCATAGTCTCCAACTCTCCTCGTAGAGTTTGCAACCTCACTTGCTTTACTCTTTCCCCTCCTTTGAATACTCTTTCGATGATGTCCCAAGCTTCTTTTGAAGTTTCGGCATCAGCTATTTTCTCGTGGATGGTGTCATCCACTGCTTGAAGCAACCAAAACAGTGTCGTTTGGTCCTTCTTTTGTGCTCCTTCGAGTTCCACTTGTTGGGCAACCGTCAAGACGGTTCCTTCCTCCGGTGTTGTGTAGCCATTATCGACAACATCCCATACTCCTTGTGACTTCAATAGTGCTCTCATTTGAGCATTCCATCGGTCGAAGTTTGCTTTCTTCAATTGAGGTAGTTGGCCGAACATGGTGGCTGTCATCTTCTTCTTCAACGGTGGCTCTGATACCAATTTGAAGGCCCCAAATATCCGAAAATATTCTAAGTGTTTGGCTAACTTACAACTCAAAGGAATGGAGGAGAATGTATTATATTCCACTTGATAAAACATTACAATTGGTGGCCTTATATAGGCATTACAAGAGAAGTAAAATAATCCCTAGGAAATACAATTTACCTTTCCAAGAAGACCTTTCATCTTTCCAATAAAAGTAGGGAAAAATAATTTATGTTCCCTAGGAAGTAAACTAATTAAGATTAATTAATTAATCCCAACAAATTCCTCCCCTAATCTTAATTCTCTTCGGTCTCTCATTCCGAGCCTTTTGCTTGTAACCTTTTGCAACAAGCCGAGCTTTGTATCGCTCGACCATACCTTCAGCATTGCATTTCTTCTTATACACCCATTTGACTCCGATCGGCTTATGACCTCTCGGGAGATTGGTAAGTTCCCAGGTCTGATTCTTCTCAATCGCTTTTATTTCTTCGTTCATGGCATGCCGGATTCAGTTTTTGTTAACTGCATATTGGCAGTTTTTGTTACCTACACGACAACTGCACGTAGACTTTATTTTGACATGTGATAAGAGGCGGGAACAGTTATATGTCTCACGGTTCCATTGATATATATATATATATATATATATATATATATATATATATATATATATATATATATATATATACATACAGACATAGAACTCTTTTGAAATACAAGAAAATGGGTAGATTTTTTAATCCTAGAGTCCATTTAATAATCCATGTTTTCAATTTATTAGTTAATTGTTTTACCAAACACATTTGTCCCTCTTTATATTGTCATCTTTTAAAAATAGTAGGTTTTAATTCATTATTTTAATTAATATATTTATGTGAAATTAATAAATTTATATTTTTATAATAGTATTTTTAACAAAAAATACTTTTATATCATTTTCATGTCATCAATATTATCGTATATAAATATAAAATCGGTCAAAGTTTAACATATTTGACTTAAAAAATCAAATTTGACTAAATAAAAAGGGACAAAAAAATAGTTTTTGACTTCGCGTAATGAATTATTTCTAACGAAATTGAATAAAGTTACTGTAAATAATTATTTTAATTTTTCATGTAATGTTTTTCTGATTATACCAAATATATTTTAAATATAATTTTTTCTTAATCATATTCACCCACTTGATTCACAATTTCATAATTTTGAGCACATTATGTCAATTCCATTTATTTTCGCCCTCACTCCGCGCACCCCAGAAACTACTTCGCGCACCCAATTTTGTGCATTTGTGGACATTTGTACCCTTTTTTGACATGCTCAATTATTTACACACACGCACGTCATGATATGCAATCTGTAGCCGTACTTTAGGTTTTTAAAGAACCGCTTTCTATGATGGCTTCAATTGTACAAACAATTACTATAAGTAGGGGTGGACATAAAACCCGAACCGAACCGGTACCGAACCGTCCCGTAATGTTACCGAACTGAATACCGGGTATTTAAACGGTTCTACAGATTTTTATCCCGTACCGAAACCGTACCGTTTGAAACGGGTACGGGACCGGTCCTAGATTTTGAGAACCGAAAAATACCGGACCGAACCGTTCGTAAATAATGCATTTGAATTTTTTTATATTTTTTCTATATCAATAGATCTAGACCAACAATTTTATACCCCAAGTATGTATTCATGTGTTCCTAAAATATCTAAAATGTGTTTTATATATATATTGTTAGTTTTTCTTTTTAGATAATTGATGTTATATTTTGGTATGTATTGAAAGTATTAAAATTTTAGAAATCATTAATGATTATTTATTTCTAATAATGTAGTGTACATGACTTTTTGTTGTATCATATGTTGGAAAAATGTGTTAAAAATTGCATTAAATGGTCATTTTGGGGCAATTATTTGAGTGGGGTCCACTTCCGATTTGGGTCGGATCAAAGTGGTTTCGGGTTGTCCTTGTTAAGGGCTACAATTCGATATATGGTACGCTCAAAACGGATAACGGGAGAATGAGAAATTGATTCTCGAAGTTCGCTCGTTGAAATGGAAAAACTGGGAAAATGATGAGTTTCTAGTGTGTTTTATCCCACACCGAAAAACTCAAGGGATTTTCACCCCCTTTTAAAGGGAAGCCTCTTTTAAGGAGTTAAGATTCCTAAAGGGAAAGGCTCTCTCTTACGCGCAGGGGGGGTGCCGATTAAATCCCGAAACGGAGAAGAAAAACCGCGACTCGTGTGCGCGGGCGACCTGCGGACACGAATGGCATCCAAAAATCTACCCTCCAAGGGGGTTTGTTGGCTTCGGACAGAAACCCTCCAAGGGGGTTCTGTTGGCTTCGGACAGAAACCCTCCAAGGGGGTTCTGTTGGCTTCGGACAGAAACCCTCCAAGGGGGTTCTGCTGGCTTCGGACAGAAACCCTGCAAGGGGTGTTCTGTTGGGGTCTTCTGTCGCGCACTTCTTCCGTTACAACAATTAATGCCCAACGTTCTTCTCTTTTAATGCTACGTTAAATGGACAGTTTATGGACGATTCAATGCCCAACGGACTGGTCATTGTTGTCCAACGTTCAGGTCCATTAACACCCCATTTAACACACAACAAATCCTCCTATAAATAGCTGGCAGGTGCTTTGCAACAAACACACGGTTTGACAACGCACAACACTTTCCTCACGTTTTCTTGAGCTAAAAACTCTTCCAGCTACTCCCAAAATTCCTTCTGTGTTCATACTTGGTTCTCGTTCGCTGGAACTCTTGTTTGTGTGCTCAAACATTACTTCGTAGTCATCGTATCCTGGGAAACGATTGTTGCAACGCTCCTAGCACCGTGGGAGGCAACAAATACGTTTTAAGGAAATCGTGCGTAGCACGAGCTTTGGCTAATTCTGCTTCATCTCCTTTCTTGTTTTTCTCTAGTCATTTTATTTAATTAATTTATTTTAATTAATTTTCTTTATTTTCCGAAACACACCCTACAATCTTAAAACGTATTTGTTGAGCTTGTATCATACGGATACAATCTTAAAACATATTTGCCTTGGTTGCTGTACTGCGGTAAACAATCTAAAAACATAGTTTGTCACTTTGGTGAACGAACTTAATTTTTGTGTTTTCGGAAAAACGTTAAAGAACGAAAATGACTTCTCAAGAAAACGAGATTGGTGTTGGGCAGAATGTTCTGAACGACAATCACTCTGAAAGCGGAGCACCGGTGAACAATAGTTCACAACGCGGTGCATCTGCTTTGGCCAACCAAAGGGCTATCCCTATGGTGACCGTGCCAAGCAACTCTGTGGAGAAACCCGAGAAATTCAACGGGTTAAACTTCAAGAGGTGGCAGCAAAAGATGCTATTTTACCTCATTACTCTCGGTCTTGCTAGATTCTTGACCGAAGATGCGCCGGTAGCAACCGGGGGTGAGGTGGATGCGCAATCTTTCAACGCGGTTGAAGCTTGGAAACATTCTGACTTCCTTTGCCGAAACTACGTGTTGAACGGGCTTCATGATGCTTTGTACGACGTGTATAGCAAATTAGCTACGGCTAAGGAGCTATGGAATGCTTTGGACCACAAATATAAAAGCGAGGATGCCGGCGCAAAGAAATTTGTTGTTGGTCGATTCCTTGACTTTAAAATGGTGGATTCGAAGACGGTCTTGAGTCAAGTTGAGGAGATGCAAATGATCTTCAACGAAATTCGAGATGAAGGAATGACAGTTAGTGAGTCTTTCCAAGTGGCATCAATTATCCATTTATTGCCGCCGGCTTGGAAGGATTTCAAGAACTACCTTAAGCATAAGCGAAAGGAAATGAACTTGGAGCAATTGATCCTCCGTCTGCGGATTGAAGAGGATAACCGGAAGAACGATGGGAAACTCCCAATTGTTCATGGCGCCAAGGCCAACATGGTGGAGCATGCTAAAGGCTCCAAAAATAAAAATAATGGGAAGAGCAAGCTCGGTCCCAAGGGAGGCGTTTCCAAGACAAAGTTCAACGGAAAATGCTTCAATTGCAATAAGAATGGACACAAGTCCTCGGATTGCAAGGCACCAAGGAAGAAGAAAGATTCTCACGTGAACTTGGTGCAAGGTGGGCAAAAGGATGAAGACATCATCCTTGCGGCTGTGGTGACCGAGGTCAACCTCGTTGGATCCAATTCCAAGGAGTGGTTCGTGGACACCGGTGCTACCCGGCATATTTGCTCAAACCGGGAGCTATTCACGACCTTTGAGCCATCAAATGGTGAAAAGGTGTGGATGGGAAATTCTGCTCATTCCGCGGTGGAAGGCGTGGGCAAAGTGGTCCTGAAGATGACTTCGGGCAAGGAGCTGACTCTAAACCAAGTTTTGTTCGTTCCGGAAATACGCAAAAACCTGATTTCCGGTTCGTTGTTGAACAAACATGGCTTTCGCATGGTTTTTGAGTCGGACAAATTAGTTTTGTCTAAGTCGGGAATGTATGTGGGAAAGGGGTATGCATGTGACGGGCTGTTTAAGCTCAATGTAACGACTATTATTATTAATAATAATAAAATCCCTTCTGCTTACTTGCTTGAGTCTTCCAATGTGTGGCATGGTAGACTAGGACATGTTAATTTTAATTCTATACGTAGATTAATTAACATGGAGCACATTCCTAAATTCACAATTGATGTGAAGCACAAATGTGGAGTTTGTGTAGAGGCAAAACTAGCGAAAACGTCTTTCAAATCAGTTGAAAGAAAAACGGAACCACTTGAATTAATTCATAGTGACGTTTGTGATTTTAAATCAATACAAACACGTGGCGGTAATAAATATTTTATTACCTTTATCGATGATAGCACTCGCTATTGCTACGTTTATTTATTAAAAAATAAACACGAAGCAATCGATAAATTCATTCTTTATAAGAATGAAGTGGAAAACCAACTTAATCGACGGATTAAGGCGGTTAGGAGTGATCGAGGTGGTGAGTATGAAGCACCAATTGGTGACTTTTGCGCTAGTGTGGGTATAGTACACGAACGTACCGCACCCTATTCACCTCAATCAAACGGTGTTGCTGAACGAAAGAATCGCACATTGAAAGATATGATGAACGCGATGCTAGTAAGTTCGGGCTTGCCACAAAATATGTGGGGCGAAGCAATCTTGACAAGCAATTACCTTTTAAATAAGGTTCCCCGGAAAAAATATGATAAAACTCCGTACGAGTTGTGGAAAGGCAGACGGTCTTCCTATCAATATTTAAAAGTGTGGGGGGGTCTTGCTAAGGTGCTTGTACCAACACCTAAGAAAATAAAAATAGGTCCAAAAACGGTGGACTGTATTTTTATTGGATATGCACAAAATAGTAGTGCTTATCGGTTTTTAGTGTACGATTCGAATAATCCGGATGTACATAAAAACACAATA